TTCCCTATGTTGCCCAGGCTGGTCTTGAACTCCTGGGCTCAAGCAATTCTCCTACTTCAGCCTCTAAAAGTGCTGAGATAACAGGCATGAGCCACCTCATTCAGTCATGAATTTTTAAAGGTCTCACAATGGAAACAAATTCTATAAAAGATCTACTTTATTAATTAGAAATGAATACCCTTCCTTCACCTTCCTCTCTCCCTTCCTCCCCTCTCTCTCCTTTCCCCCTCTCCCTCTCTCTCTCTCTCTCTCTCGACAGGGTCTTACACTGTTGCCAGGGCTGGAGTACAGTGGCGTGATCACAGCTCACTGCAACCTCGAAATCCTAGGCCTAACTGATCCTCTTCCTCAGCTTCCTGAGTAGCTAGACCACATGCCATAGAAGTGGGCACCAGCATGCTTGGATAATTTTTAAAATTTTTTTTGTAGAGACAAGGCCTTGTGATGTTACCCAGGCTCGTCTTGAACTCCTGGCCTCAACTAATCCCCCCAGCCTCAAGCAACCCTCCCTCCTCAGTCTCTCGAAGTGCTAGGATTCCAGATGTGAAACACCATACCCAGCAGAAATAGGTAAAATTTTAAATTAATAAAAATATGCAAGGCTTCCAGGAAATGGACCACTGTGAAATAAATGAGGGCTATTGCAAAGAGGCAACTACCCAACTCCTATACAAGGCACAGACCTAAACAAAGCATCAGAGCAAAGAGAAATAAGTCTTTTATCTTCATTTTGGAGCTGAAGAAACAAGCACACCCAACTCTTTCTAACTCCAGAGACTGCTGATTTGTTCATTAATTAAAATATGTATTAAAAATATATGTATCTATGTAGGTATATATATTTTTATCATACTACATGTATAATAATTCTACAGTACTTTTAAAAACAGGTTGATAACTAGACTAATCTCATACTTGAAGCTTTTCACATTAGGCATTTGACCCAAGTCTTGGCAACCTGATCAAGCCTAGGTCACATGTGTCTCTAAGCTGCCCAAGACAAAGCAGTTTGTAGCCCTCTACAATACAACTTGGAATTAATGAAAACATAAATTTTCTATCTGGAAGGAATCCTATGCTTCAACACAGCATTTCACAAAGATTGCTCTTTTAGAACTCAATATATTATAATAATTGTTTTATTTTGTTCTCACATTACAGGCTAAGAGCATAAAGATCTATGTTCATCTTATACCCAGTTTACCCAGAACAGTACATGGATCATAATAAGAACATACTGCTTACTGAATGAATAATTTAATAATAATAATAAACTCTAGCCTCAGGCCAGGTACAGTGGCTCATGCCTGTAATCCCAGCACTTTGGGAGGCTGAGGTGGGAAGATCACTTGAGCTCAGGAGTTTGAGACCAGCCTGGGCAACATGGAGAAACCCTATCTCTAAAATTTTTGAAAAATTAGCTGGACATGGTGGTGCACACCTGTAGTCCCAGCTACTTGGGAGGCTGAAGTGGAAGGGTAGCATAAGCCCAAGAGGTTGAAGCTGCAATGACCTGAGATCACACCACTGAACTCCAGAGTGAGACCCTGTGTCAAAAACAAAGAACTCTAGCCTCTTCCTCCTACCATGAAGAAATTCCAATATGTAATCTGAGTAACTTACTCATATTATAATAATTAAGAAAAAGTAATGCTAAAGACATTTATTTTTCTAGCTTGGGAATGTCCTCGACCTCCTCAGATGAAAGGCATACAAACTCTTGAATACATAGCCTCTCTGAAGCCTCAGTTTCTCTATCTGTAAAATTAGGATAATAAATAACCAATAAAAACTATGAGGATCAAATGAGATTCTGAATATAAAGACCCTGTTATAGTATGGACATAGAATATATACTCAGTAAATTACTATTTCATCTTATCACCATCAGTATTATTAAACCATAGCTTAAATTTCACAACATAACATTCATCTGGGTTGTGACGCTACTTCAGCTTGACTCTGTTACTGAGTAAAGGACTCCTCTCTAGCCAGGCATGGTGGCTCATGCCTAGAATCCTACCACTTTGGGAAGCCGAGGCGGGCAGACCACTCAAGCCCAGGAGTTTGAGACCAGCTTGGGCAACATGACTAAACCCCATCTCTTCAAAAGATACAAAAATTAGCCAGGAATACCAGTGTGAGCCTGTGGCCCCAACTACTTCACGCAGCTGAGGCAGGAGGATCACTTGAGCCTGGCAGATCGAGGCTACAATGAGCTATGACTGCACCACTGCACTCTGGCCTGGGCAACAGAGTGAGAACTTGTTTCCAAAAAAAAAAATAGAGGACTCGTCTGACTTGGTAAGCCACACAGGATGGGTCCTATTACTCTGTTCTCTGATATTACAGCACAGAAAATAATACGCTATGGTGACATAGTCTAAACAACCTATTCAAAGCCAAACATCTAAAAGGCTTAGGAGTCAGAATAACAGAAAAGCTGTAGGCCAGGCGCGGTGGCTCACGCCTGTAATCCCAGCACTTTGGGAGGCCAAGGCGGGCGGATCACGAGGTCAAGAGATTGAGAACATCCTGGCCAACATGGTGAAACTCTGTCTGTACTAAAAATACAAAAAAAATTAGCCAGGTGTGGTGGTACGTGCCTGTAGTCCCAGCTACTCGGGAGGCTGAGGCAGAATTGCTTGAAACCGGAAAATGGAAGTTGCAGTGAGCCGGGATCGCGCCATTGCACTCCAGCCTGGCAATAGAGAGAGACACTGTCTCAAAAAATAAAATAAGATAAAGAAAAGCCGTAAATACTGGTTAGTCAGCTAACAATTAATAGAAAGGACAGCAGATAACTTCTGAAGCCTACAGCCCAAGTGAATAGCACCTTGTCACCTTCAAACCTAATAAGCCTCCCTGTCTTCTTCTGATAACTTTCTCTTTCCCTCCTTTTCCTTTCACATCCCCTTCCTGACACTCTCTACTACTTCTCTGAGCCCCTTTCCTCTCTCTTTTTACCAGGCAGAATATTAAATTAAGTCTTGCCTTCACTATTTATTATATTTTCCAATAAAATAATAAACATAGGTTTTAGAGATGGGAAATCAGAATTGAATTCCAGTTCCAACAATATAACTTTGGTAAATTAAAGTGTTTCAGTTTGCCCAACTGGAAAATGCGGATAATAATGGCATCTTCACAAAACTGTAGTAAGAATTACAGTAAATGAAATTATATTTGTAAATTGTCTAGCCTAATGCCTGACACACAATGAGTTCCATAAAGTTAAATCCCTTCCCTACCGATCTAGGAAAATCTTACCTGATCCTTGGTTATGTCTTCTATAGGTCAGTAGCTCTTAGCAGAAAAGAAGACCCCTGTTCTTCACACACATTTCCATCTATATTTTTGATACAGATGGATCTACCACTACCAATACAGACAGTGAATGCCTCTAAGGACAGAATTCTGCACTTGACTGATATAAACACTCCTTATCCTGGGTAGTCTCCTAGATATTAAAAATAAGTCAGTGCAGGCCGGGCACGGTGGCTCAAGCCTGTAATCCCAGCACTTTGGGATCCACCCGAGGCGGGTTGGTCACAAGGTCAAGAGATCGAGACCATCCTGGTCAACATGGTGAAACCCCGACTCTACAAAAAATACAAAAAATTAGCTGGGCATGGTGGTGCATGCCTGTAATCCCAGCTACTCAGGAGGCTGAGGCAGGAGAATTGCCTGAACCCAGGAGGCGGAGGTTGCGGTGAGCCGAGATCGCACCATTGCACTCCAGCCTGGGTAACAAGAGCGAAACTCCATCTCAAAAAAAAAAATTTTTTTAAAGTAAGTCAGTGCAGATAAATTTAAGTAAATTTTGAAACACAAGTAATTAGCGATAATTATAAGCTAAGCATTTAAAAGGCACATAAACATTCTACATAAAACTATAAATTAACGATATACCACCATATTTTAAAAACTGCCTTGAAACTGTCTCAGTAGTTTGAGCCATGGGAGAAATAAATGAGCTACTTCATTGTAACAGTTCCCATGTTAGAGTCTTAGAACAACAGCAGGCCAATTGCCAGCTGCTTCTTCCAACTCACTGCAGCTCACTTTAACCTCATACCTAGAGACTGACTCTCCTCAAGTGAGTTAGTTCTACACTGGTATCTGGTAGATGCTGGTAAAAATAAAATTACTTTAAGAAAAACACATGACTGAAGTTCAAAACAGGCCACTCTGTTCTGATTTTCTATTATTTCCCACACCAAGCTCAAATAACAGTCAGACAAAACAACCAAAAAGAAAACCACTATGATCACTGTGTGACATTTTAAGCTACAGCCAAGAAAAGAATGTGCAAAGGCTGGTGCCAATCAACATAAGCTCTTCAACTGCAAGCCTAGAAGCAAAACACAGGCCACGTCAGGTAAACAGAAACCAAATCAGTGAGATTCAGGCGAGCTGGAAGACACGATGTAACACATGAGACCAAGTGAACAAAGAGAAGAAAAAATGAGGAGTTACTGGGTAGGGAAAATAAGCCATTATTGTAGTCAGGTGCAAGTTCAATAGCTGCAAGGGCTACAAAGATTCAGTAGACAAGGTTTCTTTAGGGAAGACAAAACAGAGACGATATTATGTTGAAAATTCAAGGAAAAGGTGAAGACAAATGTTTTAAGAGCAGGTGGAAACTGACTTCAATACTAATCCCTAAGGCAATAAATGCCAAAATAGAGTAACAATATGCTACAGCAATTAGAAAGAACAAAAGCATTCAAGAACTAGAAGTATGAATACAGTTTGGGTTTTTATTGAATAGCACATTCTCACCAAGTCTGTAAAAGGAACTGAGATTTGCCATGGCATGCAGTTTTTTAAAAAACAGTTAAAAAGGCAGGCAATTTCTAAGCCTAAGTCCCAGAAATGTTCAGTTTACTCTCGCTGCCCATCTCTGAAAAATATTAGGCGCACTGCAGCCATATGAAAAACCAGTAACTGACCTGCAACAGGCTTCTCCTGGGGTGAGCTAGAGTGACTATACTTACTGGAGTCCTCCTCCCACTGGAGTAGGTGTAGCTTCCACGCAGAATAATACAAAAATCCCAGTACCAGAAAGAGGCAGAGGGCTAGCAGCAGATTGCGCACAAATACCAAGAGTCCCATCTTCACATGATTTACGATTTCCTACATGACCTAAAAGAGAAAAAGTTTAGTTCTTAAAAAACAAAGCACTCATCTTACTGATATACTCTCTCTTAAAGTATCTATACAGAGAATTTCCAAGTGAAGAACAACTTAGTTATTAATTTTATATCATAACATCTTCTAATCTGCTCATCCCCATCTCAAGAAACGGCTTCATCATCAACCAGTGCCAAGCCAGAAAGCAGCTGTCACCCTTGCTTCCCCACCCCAACCACCGACATCCAGTCCCTGACTAGTTCTAGCAATTCTAGCCTCCCAGATCATAACCCCTTCCCATGATCACTACCCTAGTTTGTGCTATCACAGCATTCCTACAAACACGTTTCCCTGCCTCCAAATTTATACTCTGCAAATCCATTTCCACATGTCACAAGAAGTCTTTTAGTAACACAAAATCTGACAATATCCTTGCTTAAACCCATTGTATTCATCTTCTGCTGCTGTTGCAAAGTGTCACAAACTCAGCACATTAAAATGACACAAAATTATCTCAGAGTTCTGAAGGGCAAAATCTGCGTATGGCGAGGCTCAGCTCGGTCCTTTGCTTAGTCTCACAAGGCCAAAACCAAGGTGTTGGTAGGGCTGTGTTCCTTTCTGGAGGTCCTGGAGAATCCACTTCCAAGCTCACTCAGGCTGTTGGCTGAATTCAGTTAGTGTAGCTGTAGGGCCAAGGCCCCCGTTTCCTGGCAGGTTATCCACCAGAGGCCAGCCTTCACTCCTGCAGTCCTTTCCACACTTTCCATGGGGTCCCCTTCAGCCTCTCTCACTCTTTGAATCTCTCCAAATTCCCCCTCCACCATAACTTCCTTCTCTTCCAGCTGGAGAAACTCCTTTGCTTTTTGGGGCCCATGTGACTATATTGGGCCCACCTTAATAATCCAGGATAACCTCCCTATTTGAAGGTCTATAACCTTCATTTTATCTGTGAAGTCCTTTGTGCCATGCCGAGTAACAAATTCATTGGTTCCAGGGATTAGGGTGTGGAAATTTTTAAAGGGCCATTCTGCCTAACACATCTTTCATTCAATTCTCAACTCCTCTGAATAAAGTAGAAACTTCTGACTGAGCCTCAAGTTACTCTCCAATCCATCTCTTGCTTCTCTCAACCTAATTTGTGTCCTACACTCTAGTCACTGTACTTTCTATTGACTGAAAGTTGCTTTGTTGTTTCTATCCTCAAGGCCTGTATGGAATTCACCTACCCTGCTGTTGTACCTGCTGTACATCCTTTAATGTAAAAGGATGTATAGCTGGTATACTCAAATATAAAATTTAACACTAGCCAAGAAGACTGTCCTGGGTCAGGTGCCCCACTAACCCTAATCATATATCCCAATCACAAAATGACCTAAGGGGAAAAAAATGGCCAGACACAGTGGCTCACGTCTGTCGTCCCAGCACTTTGGGAGGCCAAGGTGGGTGGACCAAGAGGTCAGGAGATTGAGACCATCCTGGCCAACATGGTGAAACCCCATCTCTACTAAAATTACAAAAATTAGCTGGGAGCGGTGGCACACACCTGTAGTCCCAGCTACTCAGGAGGCTGAGGCAGGAGAATCACTTGAACCCGGGAGGCAGAGGTTGCAGTGAGCTGAGACTGCACCATTGCACTCCAACCTGGCAACAGAGCAAGATTCTATCTCAAAAAAAAATTATATATAAATATTAAAATGGTGTTATAAAACATTATAATTTACAGATAATATAATTGTCCACCTAGAAAAGCCAAGAGAAGATACTAAAAAATCATTAGAATAGGAAGTTCAATAAAGTAGGTGATTATGATTATAAGATTAATTTACAAAAATAAACACATTCTTAAAAACCATACGAGCAATAACCAGTTAGAAAATGTAAGGTGAGCCAGGTACAGTGGCTCACGCCTGTAATCCTAGAACTTTGATAGGCTGAGGCAGGAGAATTGTTTGAGCCCTGGAGTTTGAGACCAGCCTAGGCAACATGGTGAGACCCTATCTCTACAAAAAGAAAGATTAAAAAATTAGCCAGGCCTAGTAGTGTGCCCCTGTGGTCCCAGTTACTCAGGAGGCTGAGGCAGGAGGACTGCTTAAGTCTGGGAGGTCGAGGCTACAGTGAGTTGTGAGTGCACCACTGCACTCGAGCCTGGGTGAGAGAGCAAGACTCTATCTCAAAAAAAGAAGAAGAAGAAGAAAGGAAAAAAGGGAGGGAAGGAGGGAAGGAAACATAAAGTAAAAAAATTCCATTCATGATGGCAACAAAATCTATAAAATAACTAAAAACAAACTTAGCTAGAAATGGGCAAGACTTTCACTAAAGAACATAAAATATATGAGTAAATAGAGACAAAAGAGGTTCTTAAGTGAGACGATTCAATTGGAAATAAGTCAGTTTTCCTGAAATGTGAGCTTTCTATCAATTCAGTTTCATTCCAGTCAAAATCTATGAATTTTCTGAACTTGAATCTAAAGATAACCTAAAGAGTTCATGCCCAAGAACAGCCAAGAAATTTCTTAAAATGAAAAATAATGGGATGAGAATCTGCCTTGCCAGATATCGAACCAACTCAGAGCTGTAATTACTAAGATAGATAGGTACTGGCACAGGAAAAAACAGATGGGTCAATGGAAGAGAACAGAGTCTAGAAACAGGTTCTTTCAAATAGAGAGATACATATACACACTTACATGAATGAGTTTACTTTCTATATATATATAAATGTACTTAATTTAGTCTATGCTAAGCATGTAAATATAAAAATGGGAGAAAGGCCTGACTAGCTATACAGCTGTTAGCATGCTTACCTCTAGGGAATAAAATGGGATGATGATAAGCAGATGGGACTGGGAGGACTTTTACTTTTCCCTTTGTACACTTCTGTAAGCAGGGTTTAAAGGAACCAACAAGGGATCAAGAAGCATCCAGGGACTAGCAACAGCAAAAAGCTATTTCTACCCTTCAACCCGAAAGGGCAAGAGCTGGCTGGAGAAGAGAGGCCACCCTACAGGAGCAGTGATCACAGACAATGAACACAGCTGCTACCAGAACCATGGCAAGGGGTAAGGGATAAAACACAGTCTGACTCCTCCTACCACTGGCCCTCAGATCTCCTGTCAGGACCTTTTATCAGCTGTTCCCAGCTAGAAGTCAGAAGGCAAGGAAGCCGAGATGATGCAGGTAACAGAGACCAGCAGCCAGTACACAGAAGAAAAGAAGGTGAATAAAGGATCTGTGAGGGCAGGCGAATAACAGTACAGAATATGATGTACTAGTTGGAAAGAATGAGGCATATCTGCATGTACTAACAGGGAAGTGTGTCTAGGACATATTGCTAAGTGAAAAAAATCTAGCTGTAGAATAGTGTGTATGTATATGGCCCCATACTGGCAACAACAAACAAAAATAATATTTAAAAATTAAGATTAATGGTCAGATGCCATGACTCATGCTGTAATCCCAGCACTTTGGGAGGCTAAGGCTGGTGGATCACTTGAGCCCAGGAATTCGAGCCCAGCCTGGGCAACACAGTAGGACCCTGTCTCTACAAAAACATTATTTTTTAATTAGTCAGGCATGGTGGTATGTGCCTGTAGCCCAACTAATTGGGATGCTAAGGCAGGAGGATTTCTTGAGCCCCGGAGGTTGAGGCTGCAGTGAGCCAAAGCTGCACCACTGTACTCCAGCCCAGGTGACAGAGTAAGACACCATCTCAAAGAAAAAAAAAAAATTAAGACTAAGTATCAAGTACATACATAAAAGAATATGCACCAAACTACTAACAATAATTATCTCTGAAAAGTGGGTTCAGATGGAATATGTTAACAAGGTATTTATTTATCCATATACTTATTTTTAATTTTTGTATTTATGAAAGTAAATATATAAAATTTTCAAAGTGAAATAGAAATCAGACACTTGATGGCTAGGCATGGTAATCCTAGCACTTTAAGAGGCCAGGAATTTGAGACTAGCCTGGGCAACATAGTAAGATCCTGTCTCCAGAAAAAATTTAAAAATCAACCTGGCATGGTGGCATGGGCCTATAGTCCCAGCTACTTGGGAGGTTGAGGTAGTAGGATCACTTGAACCCACAAGTTTGAGGTTACAGTGAGCCATGATCACACCACTGCACACCAGCCTGGACAACAGAGCAAGACTCTGTCTCAAAAGAAAAAAAAAAAAAGAAATCAGAAACTTGTATTTCTTTTTTTTTTTTTTTGAGACAGAGTTTCGCTGGTGTTACCCAGACTGGAGTGCAATGGCATGATCTCGGCTCACCACAACCTTCGCCTCCTGGGTTCAAGCAATTTTCCTGCCTCAGCCTCCTGAGTAGCTGGGACTATAGGCGCGCACCACCATGCCCAGCTAATTTTTGTATTTTTAGTAGAGACGGGGTTTCACTTTGTTGACCAGGATGGTCTTGATCTATTGACCTCATGATCCACCCGCCTCGGCCTCCCAAAGTGCTGGGATCATAGGCGTGAGCCACCGCGCCCGGCGCCCGAAACTTGTATTTCTAAAAGCACGAAGAACTATATATCTTGTCCAAACTTCCCACTGAAAACAACTAAAACCGTAAGTTGTAAGTAGCCTGCCCACAAAAGGCAAGTGAAGCAGTTCTTAAAAAGATTTTTCCTTTCTTTTAGAAGGGGGCAGAAGTGGCTGGCACCACCCGTTTCCTTCTTTCTGTGCTGAATGCAGATGTGATGCTGAATTGCCACAGCCATACACTGACCATAGCCCAAGGCTTTGGCAGACATACAACAGTCAGTGAGTCAACAGATGTACCCATTCTTTCAACAAATACGACAGTGAGAGGGCTGAAATTAATCACCTATTTTATTTTATTATATTCCATTAGGGAAAACAATCTTCAAATTCCAAGAGTAGAACAAACCCCAAGGAAGAAACTAATTTCCACAAAGTAGACAACATACAAAAGAGCAAAAAAGAGCTTAAAAGAAGCCAAAGCCTCCAAGACAAGGAAAACAGTATCCCAA